CACTCTCTTCTGGAAAAGAAAGCTCTCTTCAAGGACCCAAGACATTTATTTATTTATGTATTTATGTTTTGCCTCCCAACCCACAAAGGCTCCAGAGGTGAGGAACAAATAAAAACCAATTATAACAGTACAAAGACAAAAACATTTTTGAAAACACATTCAAATATGCATTAAAAACTCCTAAAATAGTCTAAAACAAATCCAGTTTTGAAACATTTAAAACAGCAGTTTCAGATACTGCAGAACAGGACTGTTTGGACTGCCTCTTGGAAGCTTAAAAGTGATGGGGCCAGCCTAACTTCTTTGGGTAGGAAATTCCACAGTTGAAGCACTTCTACATAGAAAGCCCTGTAACCTGTACCAACCAACCTAACTTCAGGAGGTGTTGGGACATGCAACAGGGCCGTCTCTGAAGAGCTCAAATTTCTAGCAAGCTCATAGAGAGGAGGAGGTCTTTCAGATATTTTGGCTCCAAGTTGTGAGCAAACTGTGACTCTGCATCTGCCCTGGAGAAATAATCCAATTTGACACCACTTTAATGGCCATGGCTCAATGCTATGGAATTCTGGGGACTGTAATTTGTTGCGGCTCCAGAGCACTGAGCCATGGCAGTTAAAGTGATATCAAACCAGATTATTTCTCCAATGCAGATGCAGCTTCTGTTCTATTAGAGCAGAATGATGTGATACCACCAAAGAAGAAGCTAACCAAAATGTTAGGATATTATACTTATTTGAAGGGAGAAGTCTACAGATGAGAATAACAGATTAGCAAGAAGAAGTTTTTGGAACACTACCCGCCATATGCTCTTACAAGAAGAGAACAGCTAGATGAATAAATAAACGAACATAGAGAATTCTTTTTAGATGAGTATGAGAAGTGTCACATACCAAAAGCAATGCAGAGGCTGGAGATTGTATAATTTGAATAAATTGGGGCTGGAGAGGAAGGATGAGCTACTCATAATAAAAGAAGTCCATTTACATTCAACAGGAAAACTGAAGGTATATGTCTTGTTATTAAAATTCAGGATTAATTAGGGGGAAACTGTCTTTTCAAAAATAATTATTGCAAAATTAATACAATAATGGCTTTCAATTAAATAATAACCATGCCAAAATAAAAAAAAAACCATTGCTCTGTAAATACATTCAATAAAGGTTTAACCCTGCTACATGAATAACAATGTTCTTCAGTGTTACTAAACTGATGTATTATTATGTAGGCTTTTTGAGAGGAGTGTTTTGTGCAAGCAGATGGATTGAAATGACCTTTAGATAAGCTTGGGGCTCCAAATCTTGTCAGAGATCATAGAAATGACTCCGTTGGAGACATGCCTTTGATCCTTTAGGGCAGTGCTACTCAAAGAGATGGTCCACAAGTCATCGGCTGCTAGTCCATAGAGTTTCTGGGGTGGGAGGAAGGAAGAGTTGTAGCCGTTGGCACAAAAATGGTGCTGGTCCCTGGCACATGGGGAGTAGGAACCTGCTGATCTCTCATACCAGACAATTTAAGAAGCAGTGGTTTGGGGTGCTGCTTCATAAACATAGGGGCTGATAATAAGATAACTCTCAATTCATCAAAAGGAGCTTCACCCACTTTGGCATGAGCCTCATAAAGTGACTGCAGTGGAAACACTGTTATGGCTCCTTTTTTGATTACTGTACTTTGGAATGCTTGGAAACCAGTAGGAAAGGCTACTGGTTGCTGTGCAGGCAAATAAAATATTTGCCTTTGATATTGCTTGTGGGCAGTTATTTACATCTGTGTTTACTCCCATCCTGGGGCAAACATGACCTTCTTCACTAGCATGTAATGCCAACAGGTACCGTATTTTCTGGTGTATAAGACGACCCCCCCACTTTAGCCACAGATTTTGCAGGTAAAAAAGTAGTCTTATACGCAGGAAAATAAGGCACTTAATGAATCCATGGAGAAATCAGAAAAGTAAAGAATGTGCTTTCAAGGTGGTCTGTTGACTTATGGCAACCCCATGAATTTCATAGGGAAGGAATACACAAAGGGTTTTGCCATTGCCTTCCTCTGAATATGGTCTATAATCCTATAAAATAGTCTTGCTATTCTTTTCCTTCCCCACTGATGCTTATTATTCCAGCTTCCATATATGACAACAGGAATACGAAGAGACACTGTGACATGAAGTCACTCAAGCCAAATAAGCCATATGCTAGGATGGGAAAAGTGTAACCTTCTGGATATCTTAGGCAGTAGAGCCCAACAGTGCGGAACCCTGGGATCATTCCCAAGGATCAAAACAGTTAACCATAGTCTGGAGGGTTTGCCCAACTTTGCCATAGAACAAAGATCAAGTCTCAGTAATTCTCATTCACAGCAAGCAGAACTTTTAAGTTACTGTTTTTGTCTACAGCTCCCAGAATCCCCCAGCCAGTATGGCCAGCAGTCATTCTGGCTGGAGATTCTGAGATTTATAATCCAAAAGAGTAACTTTTACTAAGATCTGACAGTAAGCACTTTCTTGCCTGTGTTTGCTCCCGTTTTTGTGATACAGAAAATACATTCAAAGTTAGGAAACGGAAGACAAATCTCTCTTGCTTTCTCCATGCCCATGAGGCACAGAAACTGCTAAGACAGAAAACAACTGTTGGCACTGAATTTCCAGAGTAAAAGATTTCAGATCAGCTAGTTCAGCACTGAAAAAAAGGAGTACCACAAAGATCTCCCAGCTGTGCTGTGCAGATCCTATTAAGCCATTATTGCTTTCGGATCCTTGGATTTCTTGGGAAAATCAAACCTTTGTTTAGCAGTTTGGCAGAAAGAGCATTAACTTTTCAATTCTTGTTTCTTAACCAAAAGGACACATCTTTATAAACATTTAAGATATCCTAAAATAAGTGCATTCCCAAGGATCAAAACATACAGTCACAAGATGATTTATTTAGTCCATCGCTTTGTACTTCATAAACAGAATTACAAAAAATGTTGACATTTTCTTCACATATACACAACATGGGTTCAGGAATATTCTTTTAAAAAATGGATCCATCACAACAAAGTAAGGATCACTATTTGTGCTGTATTTATAATGAATAAATATTTATATTTTTATAGTGACTAAGTGTTTGCAATGTTGTAAGTACATATTTATCAGTTTACAGAAGGGATAAGGAATTTTAGGTCCTGGGACTGAATCTGGCCCTTCTAAAGCTGAATACAGGCCTCTGTATTCGTCTAAATGGCCACACACCCCTTCCCATGATACCATTGGTGGGAGTCTTCCCAGGTTTTGCTTGGGATTCTTGAAAAGACTGAAATGCTTTTCCTAAGGCTTAGTTGAGAGCCAGCCTGGTGTATTGGTTTCAGTGTTGAGTTAAGATTCTGAGAGACCATAGATCAAATCTCCACTCAGTCATGGAAACCCACTGGGTGACCTTGGACAAGCCCCACTCTCTCAGCCTTAGAAGGCAGAAATGGCACACATCCTCTAAATAAATCTTGACAGGAAAACTCTACATCAGAGTCATTCTAAGTCAGAGTAAACGTAAAAGCACATAACAGCAAAAACTAAGTTACTAGCATTAAGAGTAATATTTGCTGGCATTTTGGGTTCAGTCATTTTGCTTGGGGCCTGATACCCTGAAGGCACCAGATCCCCACTGATCTTGGAAACTAATCAGCCCTGGGTAGTACTTGGATGGGAGACCATGAAGAAATATCAAGTACTGTAGGTTGTATTTCAGAGGAAGTCAAAGGAAAACCACCTCTAGGTATTCCTTGCCTAAGAAAATTCTATGAAATTCATGGGATCACTATAAGTCAACAGGTATCATGAAGGCTCATACACACCTTCTGCCTTTGGTCCACTTACTTCTGAAATGTGGCTCCTGAGAATTCTGAAAATGAATTCAGTCCTCAGGCAGAAAGAGTTTCTCTACCCTTATAGGATAATGGCTAAGGCAGCCTTTCCCGACCTGATGCCCTCCAGATGTGTTGGACTACAACTCCCCTCCTCCCTAGCCATTATGATGCTTAACTTCAACTTTCACCATCCCCTGATGCCATGGCCAACACAACTGGAGAGCATTAGGTTAAGAAAGTTAGGCAAGTGCATCTTAAGTGACAGTTCCACCTCCAGCCATTCACTTCATGCCACTGCCCACTTCAAGCAAAATCACAGTCATTTAGATGGGCATCAGAATGTTACAGACCTAAAGGCTTACCTTCCTCAGCCATATCTTTATCCAGCACTAGTTTCCCATGTCGTAGGAAATTCAGAATGGGTCCAAAATAAGTGGGATCTCTGTCAATGAGGTATGCACCTGTTTCATCCTAACAAAATAAAAGCAAAGAACAAAGTCAGTCCTCCTGTCTCAGTAATCCTTTTAGAGTTCTTTCAGAGTGGCACCAAGTATATGGACAGAGGGATCCTGCAGACCTATTGTCACCTTGGCCTTTCTTTAAACAAAAAAAATTATTGATTAAGTTCTTCACCCAAAGCTTTCTTAGCAGTCATGGGATTAAGAAAACTCAGCAACTGTGTAAAGAACAGAAGGCAATCCTAGGAATAACTGTATGTTTCCCATAAACTGGGAACACTATTCTCCTTTAAAACAAGGCACACACTTTCCACACATCCTGTTCCAAAATGGAAATACACAGAAGTGACTGATTAGGGAAGAGATTTGGGGATAATCATAGATAACTCAATGAAAACACCAATCTGTTGGAAAATTTCAGCATTCTCTCTTCCCTCCTTCTTTGCTAGTTAGAGCAAGTGGAATTTTAGATAGCACAGTTTTTCCTGTATGTCAAACTCTGCTGTCTTTCCTCATTTAAAACCTCCCATTTGCTCCCTACTAGCATTGAATGTTGTTGTTGTGAGCCTCCAAATCATTTTTTATTTATGATGACCCTAAGGCAAACCTATCATAGGGTTTTCTTGGCAAATTTCTTCAGAGCAGGTTAGCCATCATCTGAGGCTGAGAGAGTGTGGTTTGCCAAGGTCACCCAGTGGGTTTACATGGCCAAGTGGGGAACTGAACCCAGATCTCCAGAATCATATCCAGCACTCAAACCACTAAGCCACATTGGCTCTCTATTGCATTCAATAACATGGTCATAAATACTTTTTGTGATCCAGTAAACAAATCATGTGATTCAGGTAATTTCCCTTTCGGAAATTACTCACACAAAAGAAATTCTTCTCTCCCTGTTGGGTCACCATCTCCCACACATCTTCTTCTGAAAGATGGTGAGAATGAAGGTTTCTTCCTTTCCTTGATCTCTTCATTAGCTAGTTAGGATATAGATTCCCTATACATATGTAAATTTAAGCCATTAGTAGACTTTTCATTAATTGCAAGCTACTGTTCTTCTTTGTTTTTGATTTAGTTTCTCTTCTCAGTAAAGCAGATAGGGGTATGTTCTTCTGTTACTCTACAAAGGAAAGCTAATCTCTAGCAGGTTTAGCTTTGATATTTTTGATATTTAAATATTTCATTTCTTAAACAAAGACTGAAGCCTTAGAAAACTTGAATTGCCCAGTACAATCCATTGTGTGACAGCTGTGAAAGAGGTGGATGCCATGCTATGAATCACTAGGAAAGGAACTGAAAATAAAATGTCATAATATCTCTAAATAAATCCACTAATAAAATCTTATAAAACAAACCTACTAATAACAAGACACTGCCATTATACAAATCTATCCTGTAACCATACTTGGAATGATGTGTACAGATTGTTCCTTTATTGCAAGTCATATTGCAAAGCTGAGAAAAAAGTGTAGAAAAGAACAACCAAAATGACTAAAGAGGGCAAGGAGTAGTTCCTCATACGGAAAAAAATTACAACACTTGGGGCATTTTAGTTTAGAACAAAGGCAAAAAAAAAAAAAGGATATGAAAGATGTTTGCACAATTATGCATGGTATAGAGAAAGCAGATGTTGGGAACAGAGTACTTTTTCACAGAGTGAAGAGTTAAACTATAGAATTCACTAGCCTGTCACAAAGTGTAGTTACAGCCACTATGGCAGACAGCTTTAAAAAGGGATTAAATAAACTAATGGAGGTTAAGATTATCAGAGACTACTACAGTCAGCCCTCTGTATCTACATATTTTATATCCATGGATTCCACCAACTACGGCTTCAAAATATTCCAAAAAGCAAACCTTGATTTTGCCATTTTATATAAGGGATGCGATGGGGAGGGATTATAATGTTTTAATGTTATATTTTACTCTTGTTATATTTTACTGTTGTCAACCACCCGGATTGGTTCACCACAGGGCGGTATACAAATAATAATAATAATAATAATAATAATAATAATAATAATAATAATAATAATAATAATAATTATATAATAAAATTTATTTATACCCCACTTAAATGAAGACAATCTAAGCGGCTATATAATATAAAAGTCTTGTATATAATAAGTCTTTAGTACCCACCGGTGTGGGTGGGTGGATGGGTGTGGGTGTTTGTGTGTCCTGAAACCAAGGACCTACTGTTCTGATAATAGTTGTATTTTGTTTCCAGTATTAGAAGCAGAACTGGTCTCAATACCAGTTTCTGGGAAATATGAACAGGGACCAGGGGCAGCTGGTGGCTTCCATGTCAGTGGGGCAATAAATCCATTCTGAGTTTTGCTAGCTTTATAAGTGCTATCCAAAGTGCCATTCCGAGTTAGGAATAGCAGTCAGCGCTTTGGAGAGCTCCTGCATTAAAACCTGGATTCGCCATCCCACTGACACAGATGCAACCAGCTACCACGGGGGAGAAATGCCTTTTTATTCATGTCCTGTTTGTGGGCAACCAAAAGGCATTTGCTTGGCCATTATACAATCCAAAAGCTGCAACCTTCAAGAAAAAACTATTCCTTAAGAAACTCTGCTGCACTCAAATGGACATACAGTCAGCCCTCCATATCCATATTCTTTGTCCATGGATTTAACCATCCATGGCTTGAAAAAATTCAAAAAATATGTGTGTATTCTAAAGGCAAACGATTTTGCTCTTCTGTATAAGGGTAAACTTATACTGCACCACTATACTGCACCATTGTATTTAATGGGATTTGAGCATCCATGGACTTTGGTATCCACAAGGATTCTTGGAACTAAACCCCAGCACATACCAAGGGCCCACTGTACTTCAGAACAGACCTCTCTATATTTGTTGTTGTTACTGTGTGCCTTCATTTCCATCATATGGCAGCCCTAAGGCAAATGTATCATGGGGTTTTCTTGACAAGATCTGTTCAGAGAGGGTTTGCCACCGCCGTCTTCTGAGGCTGAGAGAGTATGGCTCACCCAAGGTCATCCAATGGGTTTTCATGGCTGAACAAGGATTTGAACCCATGTCTCCAAAGCCGTAGTCCAACGCTCAAACCATGCTGGTCCTAGACCTACATATGGCAAGTACCTTACATATGACCACAATACCATCAAGTACCAAAAGAAAATCTTGCACTAGGGGTAGGCAAACTGTCCCCTTTAATGGCCTAAGGACTTCAGCTCCCAGAATCCCAGACTATTGGCCAACATGGCTGAGGCTTCTGGGAGCTGAAGTCTTTCAGCGCTTAAAAGGGACAGTTTGCCTACCCCTGCTAGAGGAACTCTGTGAGGAGCCTAAAATGCCCCATATCTCTAGGGCAGGGGTAGGCAACCTTTCCCCTTTAAGGGCCGAGGGACTTCAGCTCCCAGAATCCGGAGCTATTGGCCAACATGGGACTATTGGTCAACATGGCTGAGGCTTCTGGGAGCTGAAGTCCCTCGGCCCTTAAAGGGGAAAGGTTGCCTACCCCTGCTCTAGGGTGTCTAGTTGGAAATGAGCAAATAAGAATTCGTAGCAATTAGATGGTGTGACAAGCAAGGTGGGTGGGTGAAACAAAGGCAAATATTGCACAGCTTTGGGGAGACTTTTTAGTGGTTTTCAATCAGGAAGTGGCATACCTCTGAAAGTGGCATCCATAGTTTTTTTGTGGGTTTTTTGGGCTGTGTGGCCATGTTCAAGAAACTCTTCTAGAACATGGCCACACAGCCCGAAAAACCCACAAAAACTATAATTAAACTATTTCTCTGGGACCACTGACTGAGGGATGCATATTTCCAACATGTCATGGGTTGAACCCAGCCCTCAGAAGAGAGCCTCAGAAATTTGTGGGACAGATGATAGTCCTAACCCATTGGTTTCATGGGACTGCACTAGTGACAACAAAGCCAAACAAACTCTCACTCAAAATGTAATTTCATTTTAAATCTCAGGCATCTGATTAGATTCTACTCCAGAGAACTTTGCCTCTTTAAGAGGCTTAAACCCACAGCTGGCCTAGCAGTCTCTTTTCCAAATCTCCCCAAATCCATGACAAAATGGGGTTGGGTGGGAGAAAGAATTGCACAAAGGAAATGGAGTGGCTATGGGGGCACTTTGGAAGCAAACTGGCTAATGTGTGTATGTGTGTTGCTGTTGTTGTGTGGCTTCAAGTCATTTCCACCTTATGGCGACCCTATCATGGGGTTTTCTTGGCATGTTTCTTCAGATAGGGTTTGCTATTGCCATCTTCTGAGGCTGAGAAAGTGTGACTTGCCCAAGG